AAAAAAAGAAAAGAAAAGTCTCACTTTCTGCATTTGCGAAATATTTTAAGGATGTTCGGGAAGCCCTTTGCAGCATGGAGGTGGCTGGTTGTAGGAGAGCGAGTATGCAGTCCATATTGTTACAGCCCTTTTGCAAGGGCTGCCTTCTTCGAAGGTAAGTTTGTGATTTTAACCAAAAATATTATTTTCTGCCGGTTTTTGGCATGTATTAGTGCTGTGGAGGATTTTCGTTGTGTTGATGAACAAAACGTAGTCTTGTATTTTTCATAGCTTTGATCTCATGTGAATCCCACCCAACGGTGTCTCCTTAATAGCGACAATTACTGAAGTCAGTTTTGTTTCCTCTTTAAAATTTTATACACGCGAAGATTAAAAACAATTTAACTTCAATTTAGGAGTATAAAAACTCAAATATTTTCCAGATGGACTTGGGGTTTTTTTTTGGTTCTGGCTTTTTGTTGGGGCGGGGGGGCAGGGGGGAATTCTTTACCGAGTAATAAACGGATCCAGGACCAAATATGTGATTGTCTGTATAAATATAATGCAGCTCTCGTGTATAAAGAAGCATATTATGTTGCTGCTGTATGGTGTGATGGTAGCTAAAAGAGTTTACAATGCCATTTGTGATGGCTCTTGATGGATTACTTTGGTCTAAAGTAAGGGGGAAAACTGCCCTTGGTATGGTGAAGGTGGAGATGGACATAAGAGGGTTCATATTAAGTTATGTCTCTCACTAAACAGTGACCTTTTTATTTACAAATTCCAGCTCTTGTGATAATTAGCTTAAAGCATTAGTTATATAAAGGTTCTTATTTCCCCACACTTCACTTAGATGTCTTGGTGTTGGGTTTGTTGTTTTGTTGTTTTTTTTTGGGGGGGGGAGGGTGGAGTGGTTTGTTTGATCCTTTCCAAGAAGGTACATTTGGGAGACATTTTGTAATTTTTGGCATTTTTCTAGGCGCTTTCCTTTTTTTTTTTTTTTTTTTTTTTTTTTTTTTCCACCCGGTGGGAGATCTTTTTTGTTTTGCATTGCTCTGTGCTGGTGGCGCTGTGGGGCTCCGAAACAATTCGTGTCCCTGGCTCTAAAGGGGGAGGGGGCCGGGGGGAGAAAGGTGGGGCACGGGTTGATCCATTGTATTTTTTCCTTTTCTCTGTATCAAAAGTAACCTCAAATTAGTAAGAATGACGATTAAATTGTATCTTTATAAAATTGTAGTGTCGCATGAACTATGGCCCGGTAGAGGCATGACCTCACCCTTTAGCTGGTTTGTGTAATGAAGCAGTTCCTTAATTTTTATTTTTTTTTTCAATCCTGTACCTAGAGTCCAGTTTTCCTAAGTGCTGACATTTTCGGTCCCACCCCCAAAATGATTTTACAGTGGCTACAGATGAAAGGTTTTTTAATTATTTTTTGCAGCCAATATGGAAGGCTTTGGCACACACTTATTGTGCAACTAGTCCATTGTTTGCTTGTTGTGAAGTTAAAGGTTCCATCCACGGCTGGTTATCGAGCCCTAAGGTCCCCCTCGCTCGAGTGCTTGGATATGTAAATCTCCTGATGAGGTCTATAGGAGTTTGGGTTGTGTATGAAGGTGAGGTTGAAAAGTAGGGGAAACCTAACATAGTCCTCCAGATTGTAAGAGTATTCACCTGAGGTGGGTGGTTATTTCTTTCCTGTTGCTACATGGAGCATGCATTTGACACATCTTTATAAATGAATATATATTAATGTGTGTTGTTTTATTTTGTTACAACCTACAGATCACCTCGGCTCTAAGTGCAAAAGGATTAGAAGGCTTTCTGCTAACATCCATATTAGGTGTAAGAAAACAGAAGTGATTAATGTTCTAGGATGGGTGGGAAGACATAGTCAAGCCCATGATCAGAGCATATATTGGAAACTCAACAGGTTCAGGAACAAATTTGATATTAAATTTAACACATTTCTAAGGAATCAATGTGCCTGTTATTTTGGAGTGATAAGAGCTGATAATTTTAGAGGCCTTTGCATCTATTTTACATTTCAATGTCTTCAGTATTTTCAAAGAATAAATTTGACAAATACTAGGCAGTTTGAAATGGTCTCTAAACTTCTCACGAGTGTTTAAATCTTAAAAAATGCTTCTAGATTTTGGTTGAAAGAGTCTGCTCATTAAGTTAATTAGTTTTATGGAAACTGATCTACAACTTCAGTAGATCTCTGTAATGGTTTCTTATTCGTTATCCCTTTTTAAAGGAAGGTAAATTTTGTTTCTGTTTTAGGTAAAATACACTTGCAACCTTCTGCCAGTAACAAACATATCCAAGAGAGCAGCCAGCTTTTATCCTTTCCACTCTGTCAGACATGATACACTTTTATGGATTCTTGGCTGGAGCAGAGACATGGTGGCCTGTGACAGTGCAGTATGACCATTACTTCTTTGGTGTCCTGGTACAAATCTTAGATCTTGAGGACAAATATCAAGACATAAACCCTCTTAGAAAGTGTAGATTTTGGCCATCCTCCATTTCAATTTCCATTTCTGATATCTCATCACTAGGACATAAGGTTGGCATTTTGGGCACAGTCCATGCCAGTAGAAGTAGTGCCAGTTGTTGAATCCATTACAGTAATTATCAATCTTCGAGAATCACTGGGTTGTTTAATTCTGATGCAGCTTTTCTTTTTTGACATCATTTAGACCAATGTTCAGTGTGCTCATCCATGGACAACAGTACTGAGCAAATGATAAACTGAGGTGCTTACTGAAGGTATTTTAACATTCTTCTTCTTATCCTGCACCATGAAAGCGATGCTTTCTTGTGGCTGCAGTCTGTGCATGAAGGCCATGAACAAACTGATTGTTGTAATCTTGCTGCTCAGAGTCAGCTCAAGCTCAGTGAAACCAACAAGAACATGAAATCTGAATGGAAACTTGCTTCCCATCTCTCCCATTCAACTGAGGCTATTCTTAAACTTTGGTTGTGGTTTTGGAACTTTGAAGCTTCATCTGATAAAAGTGTCTGGTTTTACTCCTATCAAATCATAAGATGAGTGAAATGCTGATCTTCTGCAATTCAGTGGTTTTCACACTTCTCCTCCTTCCTTTTTGAGCATTGTGTTGCCAGTAAGGAGTAAGAAGTATTTAAGGCTTTGTATCCTCTTAAAGCTACATAACAACTAATTTACCTCGTGTATCTTCTGCAGAAATGCCTGAAAGAGTAATTTCTGTGGGGTGGTTCAGTCTTTATTGTGTTTTCCCTACCTCCTCCTTCTGAAATACCAGTATGTAGAATCCCAGGACCTAAAGCATACAAACTTTTTTTGGGGTGGGTTTCTTAATTTTCTTCCTTACATATACCTCTATTTCTAAGGTGCCAAAACAAATGTATTTTTCTCCTAATAGAGTTTCCCTTTTACCTAGAAAGTCTATGTAGAGTCCAGACACCTTTGAAAGGTATTTGGGTCTCTTGGTTTAAAACTATTTGAAGTATGGCATCGTACTATAAGCCATTCTTTTTCGAGAGCTTAATACAACCTGACCAAAATGCTCTTTGTGCCTTCGTGAGATTAGTCTTACTAACGCTACTAGTATCATGTACTCGAGTAAGAATCATGATAAAAATGTCTAAAAATGTCAATAGTAGTTAGAACAAGATGTGTAGATTCCAGGCAGATATAATCAGCTTCCAAAGTTAAGCAAAATATGGTGCAAACTGTTCCTTAGAAGGGGTTTGGTGGTGCAGAAGAACGTTTTTGGGGCTCAGTTCAAACAAAAGCCATACCCCTGCTTCATCCACTCATATGTTGTGCTCTCCAATTTCCTACACTGATAACATACCTTGGTTCCTGGGACTCCTGTCTGTTATCTCTTAAGGGTCCTAAAGTACTCATTGTGTCCTTGATTCAACAAGGTTTCAAAGGTGGGGGTGCTATTTTTATTTGGACATCTTGTGACATAATCTTGTTTCTCATCTTTCTTACCTCATAACTTTGCTAGCTGTACTTTTCCACATACGTGTCAGCGTCAACTTGTAGCAATGAATAATTAGTTTAAAACTTACTTCAAGGATCACCTCTTTCCCAGCTGTGAACAAAGGACAATTACATGCCTGCTTCAGACTCATCTTCTACAAAGTTAGGTCTCTCCACACCTCTTCCTGACTCATATTTGCATGACCTTTCAATGTTATGAAATTGTCTGCTCTAACTTCTTAAAGCCAGAGGAACTACTACAGCTGGCACATTGTTCCACCTTTAGCATTCTTCATATTTTTCCTCTCAGTAAATAGCACAAGAAGTTAATTCATGTTGCAGTGAAGAGACAATCCTAGATTTTAAATTCTTTAAATATACAGGGTGGGGGAGTATCAGTGCTATGAAATATAATTCCTGCATTGTTGTTGTGAGCAACAAAATATAACTTGGACAGATATGACCACACATCAGTGGCTTCAGGTCCTGTGGGTTTTGTTTAGACCCTTTAGTAAGTCACATTTCCAATTTATTGTGTTACCACTGGACTCTCCAGGAGCAAGATAATAGCAATACTATAAACTTCCTTCATAGGAAGGTTTGTTCATGAATTCTCTACTAATAGTAGCTAGACCCTGAAATTGGTGGCCAGAAGGTATTGCAGTGCTTAAAAAGTCAGGACATTTGCAAAAAATTATTTTTTCTGCTTATCTCCCAATATAAACAACAGAGAGATGGGAACTGCCAAAAAATATGTGAGCCCTAGTCTTCACTACTTGTGCAGTGAATTGGGATGCTGTTTTGGAGCTCCTGGATGGCAAATGGAAAGTTGCTCAGAGCCATCAACACCATACAACAGAAAACATTAGTTACAGATGCAATGTCTATTGCTTTGAGCACCTGTAAAAATAGCAAGGGCTCTAAATGTAGTCCATAACAATTCCAACTTGGAGCAAATGACTGAAAATGGTCAGATGCTGACTCGCCATCCTCTGTTGTTGAGCAGAACCTGGATGACTTTTGCTAGGGAATGGGAAAAGTAATAGATTTTACAATGCATTGAGCACTGGGATTTCCAGAGGAAGAAAGAAAAGGTGGGGTTCAATCTCATCCCCGCTCCCAGGACTGCCTCATGAATTTTACTCAATAATGTTTAAATATAAAATACAGGAATTCCAGGGAACAGTGAGTAGATTTGTTCCTCCCAGAGAAGTCTTCCTTTTGTCAGGTTCTGTTTTGGTTTTTTCTTGGATTAAAGATCTGAGAAACAAGCCTGTAAGGTCATATTTCCCTGGATTTACAGAAAGCTGAGCTTGTGAGTGAACCAGAATCCCCGTATCATATACATTCATGTAGAATTTCTTTCACCTGTCTTTAGACAAGTATTGTTATATCTGTAATCCTCAATGGAAAGAAACAGATCAAGTAAATCATAGCTTTAAAGAATGATAAAAGGATCCCAACGACAGCAAAAACAACAAGCAAATAAACACAACCAAATTTTGAATGTCTGCTGTGATAAGAATTGTATCTTAAATTTAACTGAGTATCCTGATCAGGTCTCCATCTGCCTCCTGTGAGGCCTCCTAGTTCAGATATGAATGCCCTCACTTCATCAGAGATATCCCATGCCCGTGAGTTTGCTAATACTGACCTGTGCATGATTTAGGTAATGAAAAGTGAGCTCCTAATCCTCATTCCCTTCAGAGCCTTGAGAAAATTACTAAATGGAAGCAAGACCTTTGGCCTCTCAGGGGTGTGCATCTGGAATAGTCATTAACACAAATAAGAGTGAGCTTTCCGTGTTTGTTCAAACATATTTAAGAATCAGGTGACTCAGATCTGGGGATTTCAGGGCACATCTTTCTATTTTCTATTTACTTGGTGCTGCCATAACCTGATGACTAAAAGGATAACTTCTTGAAAGGGTCCTTTCACCTGACAGATTTTCATCTGTAATGCCAGGGCATGTTTTCTGGCTGGATTTATTCAAAGTTTTTTGTTTTATTTTTCTCAAGAAAATTTAAGAATTAATTTTAAAAGTTATAATGCAGAGCAGCCATGTTATTTCTGATGGTCTTAAAGGTATCCACACAAGGCTGAACATTTTAATGTCTTTAGACAAAGTGATTGTGTATTCACAATTCAAGAAAAGTGCTGCAATCAGCATCTTTTTAAGGAGAAACCATGCTGGATAATGAAGGGTAAAAACATACCTCTGGTAACTCTGCATAGACACTTTCTCTTTAGCCCATGTTCATCTATAAGCACATAATGAATGAAGATTCCATATGAAAGTATTCTGCTTTCTTTCATCATCTCTGAATCAATTTCCAAGTTAAAAATTGAGTGTTGTGTGAATCTGTGGGATTTGGAAGGTCTAGTCAAGCAGACTTCCAGATGAACTACTTTAATGTGAGAAACTGTTTTGCTTCCCATCTTTCATATTCTCCCTTGATATATTTTTTAAATTAGGTTGTGTCTCGTTATGCTAACACCCTTCTTGAGTTTCCTCTAAACCAAAAGCTCAGCAGACTTGGCACGTGTGACCAGTGGCAGGCTGGTGCACATTAACCCCAGTGTTAATGACAGGAGTCTGTCATGTTCTCTTGGTTGGAGGAGCAGAATGTCAAAACAGCCACAAAACTGACACACTGTGCAGTAAGAGAATGGGAACAGAGGGTCTTTGGCAGAAATGGATAAGGGGGTTAAAGTCTTACCTGCTTGTAACCTGAATGATTGAGAAAACCACTCTCCATCTGGCTCTGTTTCTCAGGTTGCCCTTACAGCAGATTTGGGGATTTCACAGGCAAGGTGAGATGCAAATGCCAGTGATATCACAGCACCTCTGGTTTCTATATCCCACCTACATTAGGGACAGAGAAAATAATGTTATGTGATTTCTTTGTTTTTCTTCTCACGCAACTTCATGTTTGCATCTAAACCAAAACACTTCCCTCTCAACACCTGCCCATCTCACACAAGTTATTTGCATAGTCTAAATGTTGAAAATCCTCAGAAACTGCATTTTCTTCAGGTTAACCCTATCTGAGTTTTACATTTTTAAGCATCTGCTATCATTTAAAGATATATAGGTAAGGATATCTCAAAACAGTCTCATCTGATCAGTTCTATATTCAGAACTAGCCTCCTCTGCTGGATATTTACAGTCAAGCTTAATTCATTAGGCCTTTTTTCCCCACTAATGCTGCATTATTTATTTATGCTTTTCTTCTTATTTGGTTATAAATATGATCATGATTATTTGTATCCCAGAAGAGAAGCAATATTTTATAACATTCACTGATGCTTAATTTAGTATAAATCAAACTACAGTGTGAAAAAAATCCACTTCTAAAATTGAAAGAATATTTGTTTCTCGCAAGCTAATAACAAGCTTTATAAATCCAAAAGCTGAGTTATTTGTGTTTTATTAATTTCTTTGAAGAAATGTATTTCTGTTAAGTAGAGATGGTATAGTCTGTACAAGGCACTTAAGAACACATTCATATTAATTTGATATGGAATTCAGGGTTCACTCACACTGTAGGTATGTAGGTACTTCCCACTAACATTAAAATAAAAAAAAAATCTAAACATATGTTAGGAAATGCCTCTTCATTCCAAGATGTATATGTACTTTCCTGCACCAAAAGATTTCTGAAGTCCAGCTAATTCCTGTCTAGGTATATAAATCACTGTTTTCCTCAATTGTGTGAGGGAAGCAGAAAACCTACTTTCATTCTGATTCAGGAATTGCAAATTAAAGCATTTGGCTTTCTATAGTAACTCCACATTAACTTAACTTCATATTATTTAACATCAGCAACGTAATTCTGAAGTTTGAAAATACTTTACTATACTAACCTGAAGCCCTGAGCATTTGAATTGATTTTTCATAAAGTGACTTTCAAGACAGGATTTGTATCTTGGAAGTGTAAGGTAAAATTTAAAAATTCACAGCATGTAATAGTAAGATATTCCGGTCTTAGTACTGAACTGAATTTGCTATTTTGTTTGCATTTACATAGAGCCAGAGAACTACTAGTGTATAAGTAAACTTTCTGAAGTCACACAGCCTATCCCCAGTTTACCCCTTTATCCCATGTTGGGGTATGAGCACTGGCAGTTGAGGTTTATGTAGTGGAGCCATGTGTGTGTTTGTGGTGGGTTTTTTTTTTACGTTGTTTTTAGCATAATGGGCAATTAAAGGATTTGGGACTGTGCAGACCCATGTGCAGCTATAATTTCTCTACTTCTGTTTTCCTATTTTAGTCTTCCACCTTATACTATGCAGAATTGCAGAATTTTTTTTGTTTGTTTGCTCAGGTTTTTTGTTGTTTGTGTTAGGGGTTTTTTTTTTCCAAGAAAAGCATAAGGATTTTGCCCTTCTGCTGGCTCTTCTACTGGAAATAATACAGGATCATGTGATTAAATTTACTTGACTCTGAGATTATTCATGTGTTATAATCCGATGTTTGCAGAAGTCTATGCCTAAGTCAGAGGTGATAGCCAGTCCACCCTGCTCAAATTGTGTTTACCTAATAAATTGTGATTTTAGTATTATTATTGTTTTGTATGTCAGAACACAAAATGATTTGGATAAATTTTTTTTTAAAAAAGAGCATAAAATCAGACTTTTTTTTTAATTTATTTTGTTTTGTTCCCTTTTATCTTACTACTTAATCCTAAACTATTAGTTTGTGAAATGACTTGCTAGTGAAGATGACTAAATCAAGAATTCAAAGTGTGTCTAGCATAGTAGTTTAGAGGGGATATGTGTTATAGAATGAAAACATGAAGATCATAAATCACTTTTAACCCTTATAATTCCTAGGATACCTGTTCTGAATACATTAAAACTTAAACAGGGAAAGACATATTTCAAGACAGAAGAGTCTCAGCATAATTTGAGCCTTTTTACCACCACTGTATCTAAGAGAATAACTGCTTCCACTATAACCTGTTTTCCCTAGACACATAAAAACTTGAGTCTTCAAAGCAATCTATATAAAAGAAACTGATTCTTTTCTGACAGTACTAAAAAAACCTCCATCAAATCCTTTATGCTTTCACATGGAGCCCATTTTACCATTTTCTTGCTCATCTGTCTAGGTGATGTTGGGACAATGATGAGTCTGTAAAATAATAATATTAAGTCATTAATTCCTTTTGAAGTCTTCCTAGTTCTCTTATGGACAACTGCCTTCTCCACCTCTAAGAGTTTAGCTATCACTGGAAAAGTAGAAATCTGGCAATAGCTTTTGCTGCTCCTCTCTTAGCTTTGCCTCTTCTCAGTAAGAGAATTGCTATCTAGTGATTTTTCCTTCTCTTTTGGATATGGCTCCATGGCATATCCATTTGAGGATCAGCTTAGTTTTCCTGAGAACACTGGACTCAACCTTTGAGTATTTAAAAAAAAGCATTAAGCCCCACCCCCTCTCCCAAAAAAGAAACAAAACAAACCCCCCCACAAAACCCCAGGTCAACAAAATTGCTGTATAAATAAATGAAGAGTTATTAGAAGCAGGGTGTAAGGTAGTCACGGAGTGAAAAAAAAAATTAAATTGAAAATATTTATGGATACGAAAGCCAGTGTATAGTTTACTGTAATACAAAATACAAATAAATCCTAATTAAAAAAAACACCAAAAATGTTTAAGAAAGCTTTTTTTTTTTTTTCCCCTAAGTTGAACAACTGTCTCCTAGAATTTTATATCCCTAAAATACAAAATGCTTGAGGTCAAAAGGCAACAAAAATGATGTGGTTTAGCCTATATGCACATCAAATGTAGTACTTTTGTGATGATTGCTGCTAGAATGGGAGGCAATATTAAACCTATGTACAAAAGGCTCCAATTCATGCTTAAATAAATGACTGGAAGTCTTTCTTGAACTCAGAGAGGTTTTAAGCCATAAAACTAAATAAATACCAATATTTGTAAAAACTTGTCAAACAGTACACAGGACTTGCAAACCAAAATAGAAGTTACATTTTTGGCTTCACAAACCCAAGTTAGATGACAGCACAAGAGACCCATATGCCTGTATGCAGATGCATAGATCAAGTTGTATCTTTGCCCATAATGCTCATTCTGAATTTAATACTTTTGAATGTATTTTGAAATGGTTATATTTGCCAGCTGCATAGCTGATACACAAAGTGCTTTCATTTTAGTAAAGTTTGTCCTTTTAGTTGAGATCATAAAAAGATAAAACCTTAAAGAAATGCCCCAAATTATTTCAGCAGTTAAGAGAAATAGCAATTCTAAATATCTTTTCATTATATTTCAGTTGCTTTACCTTACAATTCTGTTTTTAAAATAGACACATAGCACTTAGGTTCAACCAATTAACTTATACTTACTGATCTTTTACTGAGAACTTGCAAAGAGTATTTTGGTCACTATACGAAACATACCAATTCTGCATAAGCTACTGTCATAGTGCAGCACTGATGTCTGCAGATATAAAGTGTGCATTTTAGTAAAAACTGCAAAATGGAAAAACACCTAAAATATATCTGCATTTTCTAACTGAAAGGAAGATAAAATGGACATACCATTCTGGTTATGTTCTATACCTTTTTCAGTCACCATCTTTTACAGAACAAACATCAGGGCTCATGTCACATTGTTTTCAATTATCACACTTTCCATCTTACTAACAAATTAATTTTGAGGGTTAATCATCTTCTGCTACAAAATATTTAAACACAATCTCTTTTATTGGCAAAACATTAAACTGATGAGTCCAAGGGTTTCAGGCCAAAACTTTTTCTTAATGCACTATCCTCTTTGTATCCAAATGTTATTGTCCATTCTGCTTGCTCCGCACTTTTCTCAAGCCTGTGGCAGGGTTAGAAATGCAAAGGTCAATTAAGGATAAGCTTGAACTTGATTATTTTTCCTTTGTAGTTCAGGGTATTTTAAATACTTTGGTTTTCATGATGTTAATTAGGTATTGTTTTCCTTTCATCAGTATAAGTGGAGAGTTATATTTAATGGCTTTTTTTCTGCTTAGCTGCCAGGTGTTTCATTCTCATATAATTTTTTAAGTCAAAGCTAATCTGTGATGGCATATTGTAATTTTTTGGTTGGTGTTTTTTTCAGCACCTTAACTGTCTGCTAATTGGATAAACTAAATTATTCAGTATTTGTGGAAAAAGGTATTGATGTTTTATGGGCAATTTATTTTATATTTCTAACAAGTGTATGTTTTAAGCTTTAGAATTAGAATACAAAGCAATATGCATGTTTAAACATTTGATTCTGATGTAACTACTGAAATACAAATTAATTCAATGATACTCAGTTCATTCCACTCCCCTTAAAAAAATAAAAAAACCAACAAACAAGCCTCCCTTAAAAAAAAAAAGGAGTCTCATTCTCCCTAATAGCTGTCTTCCACTGCATTACCCATTTGCAGTACAGGTAGAATTTAGCATCCCAGAGAAGTTATGAAGCCAAAAGAGTTGCAGTTTAAGCAGTTTGGGAAACCTAGAGGGTTTTGGGTTCCCAAACACTCATGCAAATTGTTGTCTTGACTCTTCTGTTAACAACTGCATCTAGTAATATTTCATCTAGTGTCTAGTAATGGCTTAAGGTTGAGGATGGTGGTATTATTATTATTATTATTATTATTATTAATAATAATAATAATATCTATTTTAAATATATTTTGATTCTATTGTAGAGATTATTTCTCAAATTGCTAAGCAAACTTAAGGTTTTTCTATTTTTTTGTTGCTATATCTATGCCGTATTTTTGAAAATTCTGTTTCCCAAGAGTAGTATGTGATAAATAACAAAGTTCTGTCTATCGTGTGACAGTAAAAACTACAGTATTTGTCTTAAAAGTGGAGGACACTTAAATTCAGCCAATACACAACTATCTCGCATTTTAAATTAAAATAAGCATAACTTCGATAAGATGGATTTCACTACCGAGCTAGAGTTACATATAACCTGGTGCGAGAACATAGATGAGCACCTAAGTTCGGCAGCTAGACGGCTGCAGCCCTGGCCTGGCCGGATCGGAGTTTGACGTTCCTGTGGCCGCGCTGGGATGCCCTGGGGCGGCTTGTGCAGAGAGCACCGAGACAGGGCTAACTCGGCATTTCCGATCCCTTGCTTAGAGCCGAATGGTGCATCAATTTAATCGACTCATTGAGATGTAAACGAGCTTCCCTAATCAGACATGCTCAAGTGGGTTCTACACATTGCCTGGGGTGAGCTCGCTTCAGCGGGTCACTGGTAATAACTTAAGTCCGTGCAAAGCTTAAACCAGTTCACGTGTCTGCACTTTGCTGCCGAACTGTTTCTGAAAACCTCAGAGAAACGGGGTGGAAATGCCGTTATGGAGGTGCCTGGTTCTTACGGTTCTTCACGTTTTCGGGCAGGTGTCCGTGTTTCCCCTTTATTTAGCACGGACGCGAACTCTGTTCGACGACTCGCGGAGGGACAGCGCCCGACGGGCGGCTGCGGCTGAGGGGCCGCGGCCGGGCCCTGAG